TTTATTTGTTTATTTGTGTTTAAGTAAAATGTTTTCACAATTAGTATTTAGTTTGAGTTAGCCTAACTATAACTGCTCAGAAGCCTCTGCCTAAAAATATTGACATTAAAATAAAAATAACCGTTGTTATTATTTTTTCATTTAAAATTAACTGCCTTGCAGGGACAGCGTCATCAGAGCTGCGGGAGACACTTACGTAAAAAATGTAGACTGTTTAATGGCTGCGAAATTTTCTGCTCTAAACCTCCGGATGTAATCTCGTGTAATATCGTGAGATTATTGTGTGGTTAAATTTCAAACCTGTATTAAGTATCCTTATTTAGTGACTTTTTTAATCCCTTTGAGGAAATGTTATTATAATAATTACAAAATAAAAGCCAAAACTGTATCGAAAATGTTAGTACCGCTAAAAATATATTTGTCACATCATTCGTTTCTATTTGTAAGCAAAGGAAACAGTGGAAGGGATGGAAGAGGAAAAGGAGGCGACTTTAGTTGACTAGGCTGCTACCTATCTCCCAAAATCCTTTGCGGCAGGGGAAGGAAAATGAAAACGGCCATGTCGTGGTAGAGATCAGTTGCGAGCGGGCGAGTGAGATTCATAGTGTCGTTTGACGATATATGTTATGTAGTCTGAGAACTGCAGGTCTGAAAAGAACGCATCCGACGCTTCGTGTGACACAAAACGTTTTCTTTGGAAGTACGCGTGTAAATAAAGTTAAAGGACGAAGATGAGCGGAGGAGGGACACCGTACCTCGGCAGCAAAATTAGCCTCATCTCCAAGGCCGAGATCCGCTATGAAGGAATTCTTTACACGATTGACACAGAAAACTCGACTGTAGCTCTCGCTAAAGGTAAGTTAAGGCACACAGAGAGGGAATACAAGACTCAAAGAGCGCAAAAGTGTTAAGCGAAGGAGAACAGCATTCTTTTAGGGTATTTGGCTTTGTTGGTTAGCTTTTTAGTTAGCCAACAGAGCTAAGTGGCGCTATAGTTAAGCGCTGTAGTCCTTTGTTTACGTTGTAATTGTGGTAAAGTCAAATGCTGTGCACCAAGTGACACATAATTACCACTAGACATACCTTGTTAAAGCACTAATTGCGGCTTATTGGCTCTTTTTAGTGTTTTTTAACATGCGTTTTAGAAACTCTGATTATAATACTCTGTCTGACAGTATTGCTTAGACCTGGTGGACTGTGCGTATGGGAAGAGTACTAACTTTATCTCAAGAGCTCCTATTGTGTGGAATTTATTATGTTGAACAATGTGGTTAACAAAAATTTATATATTTTGAGGCGTCTGTTTTCTTTCGTCTTTATTCCAACGCAAATTCATAATATTCAGTTCTAACATTGAAAGTTTATGTGAAGTCAACAGTGTTGGTTCTTAACGCAAGGAATTTCTCCTCCTTAATTAATAAAAGTAAAGTCGTGTAAGTTAACCTGTGAATTTTCCCTACAGTTCGCTCCTTTGGCACTGAGGATCGGCCCACTGACAGGCCTATTCCTCCTCGGGATGAGGTCTTTGAGTACATCATCTTCCGAGGAAGTGATATTAAAGACCTAACAGTTTGTGAGCCACCAAAAGCCACCAGTGCCCTGCCGCAGGACCCTGCCATAGTCCAAGTAAGTCAATTGGTGCATTCCATTACTATAAAACAGCTGTATAAAGGCTTTTCTTTAAGGCTTCTTGTATGCTAGCTCATGGTGGCACAGGCATGGCTTTATTGAGACATTATAAGGGAGAGACACTCACTAATTATTCTGTATGTAGAGTTTTTGTGTGTGTGATTTTTATAACTAAATAATAGCAATTGAGATAATCATTCAAAATAATTACTGAAATAATTGCCTAGTGGCATTTTGAGTTGCAAAGCTTGCTTTAAAGGAACTTTGCTGTAGGGCCATCGTTAACATTATTTCAAACACCTGTGTATTACAAGGATCAACTATAAAGAAATTCAGGTAGACAGTGACAACTATTGTATTACTGCTTTTTCTTTCTTTGTTACAGAAAATAAGGGATTATCAATGTTTTTAATTATTGCACATTTTAAGAAAATTAAAGAAACCAATTAGAAAATACAATAAGCAACAAAAAAATAAAAAGTGACTACTTGTTGTAGAAGCCCTGAAAACCAGATTCACAAACAAAGGAGTCTGTTAAAATAAAGTATATTCAAAGTAGAGTCAGGCCTTTTTCCTTCTAGATATGGTATCTTATCTATCTTCTAGATGACACTTTCTAAGATGTGCATTGGTTTATTAACAGCTTTGTGTCCAACCAACAGTTGCACATTCATTTTGTGTTATTTGTTGTTTTGAAATGTAGGCATCAGACATTTATAATCGTATCTTAGTATTTTCAGTCATGGTTAACAGCTATGTTCAAAAGTCTTGTAATGTTTTTAACTGGATGTATATTTGTTTGTCTAGTCATCAATTGGATCCTCAAGTGCTGCAGCACCTCCATCATTCCAGGCTCCTGGGTCCTATGCACCTTTCAGCAGGGCTCCTGCCCCATCATACAGCCAGTTTGGTGTTGCAACCATTGGTTCTCAACAGTTTGGATCTACTGGAGCAGTTGGTAAGGAGCTGTGTGAAATAAGCAAGTCAACCACATTAAAAAGCATTAGGTTTTTCAAGTTCAAACCTGTCCAAACACTCTCTTGGATGGAAATGTAGCAGATGCAGTTAAATCTTTCACTGCTGATATCTGTCTAAATGCTACATAGTGACCTCAGACAAGCTAAACATCTGTTTCTCAAGCAAATTTGGAGCAACACCTGATTCCTGCTCATTTGAATAGAGCACAGCTGTATGCTGCTTTGAGTTTCCTGCTACACACCTGATCCCTATTGTGTTTTGAACTGGAAACAGCAAAGACAGTTATGCATCATACTTCTAATAAACTGGTGAAGTTTTTTAAAGTGTTCAAAGGAGAAGTCACATATACAAAGCACATGTCAGATTTTCTCTCTAAATGTACAGATTGGATTTTTACCTTTTTGTCAGTGAACATCTGTGTCATCCACTGCCAGTAAAATGGAAGTGCATGAGTAGCTGAAGCTTATCATTCAGCTCTGACAGAATCATCTTCACTACTACCGTGTATTATAGTTTTAAGTAGGTTGGGGTGAAGGTTACTTTTACTCACAAATACTCCAAAAATGTTTTACACTGCACACAAATCTATTACAAATACAAGGGAAATGCTTACACTGTGGAGTCCTTCACTGCAGGACTTTAATGGACAGTATGTTTTTTCCACTCAACACTGTTAATGTGAATTTTATTTATTTATTTTTTTTCTTCCCCTCCATAAGAGCAGCTACTTTGGAACAGCTTTTAATTGCTGTTTGTTTGCTTGCAGGACGCACTAGTCCCCAGCTGGATTCTAGAAGAAAGAGTCCCACCCTGGAACAGGCAGTGCAGGCCCCACCATCATCTGCCCAAGCTCCACCTGCACCTGTAGGACAGCGGAGTCAGACAGGGGCAGCAGCTTCCAGAACCACCACCACTGGCATCCAGAAGCCTCCAGACCTCCTGGAGCAGAGAAAAGGTAAAAGTGTAGGTTGTGGCTGGTTTAAAAAGTTATTTGTAGTAAGTTCATAACA